GGGGGGGGGGGGGGGGGGAGGGGGGGGGGGGGGGGGGGGGGGGGGGGGGGGGGGGGGGGAGGGGGGGGGGGGGGGGGGGGGGGGGGGGGGGGGGGGGAGGGGGGGGGGGGGGGGGGGGGGGGGGGGGGGGGAGGGGGGGGGGGGGGGGGGGGGGGAGGGGGGGGGGGGGGGGGGAGGGGGGGGGGGGGGGGGGGGGGGGGGGGGGGGGGGGGGGGGGGGGGGGGGGGGGGGGGGGGGGGGGGGGAGGGGGGGGGGGGGGGGGGGGAGGGGGGGGGGGGGGGGGGGGGGGGGGGGGGGGGGGGAGGGGGGGGGGGGGGGGGGGGGGGGGGGGGGGGGGGGGAGGGGGGGGGGGGGGGGAGGGGGGGGGGGGGGGGGGGGGGGGGGGGGGGGGGGGGGGGGGGGGGGGGGGAGGGGGGGGGGGGGGGGGGGGGGGGGGGGGGGGGGGGGGGAGGGGGGGGGGGGGGGGGGGAGGGGGGGGGGGGGGGGGGGGGGGGGGGGGGGGGGGGGGGAGGGGGGGGGGGGGGGGGGGGGGGGGGGGGGGGGGGAGGGGGGGGGGGGGGGGGGGGGGGGGGGGGGGGGGGGGGAGGGGGGGGGGGGGGGGAGGGGGGGGGGGGGGGGGGGGGGGGGGGGGGGGGGGGGGGGGGGGGGGGGGGGGGGGGGGGGGGGGGGGGGGGGGGGGGGGGGGGGAGGGGGGGGGGGGGGGGGGGGGGGGGGGGGGGGGGGGGGGGGGGGGGGGGGGGGGGGGGGGGGGGGGGGGGGGGGGGGGGGGGGGGGGGGGGGGGGGGGGGGGGGGGGGGGGGGGGGGGGGAGGGGGGGGGGGGGGGGGGGGGGGGGGGGGGGGGGGGGGGGGGGGGGGGGGGGGGGGGGGGGGGGGGGGGGGGGGGGGGGGGGGGGGGGGGGGGGGGGGGGGGGGGGGGGGGGGGGGGGGGGGGGGGGGGGGGGGGGGAGGGGGGGGGGGGGGGGGGGGGGGGAGGGGGGGGGGGGGGGGGGGGGGGGGGGGGGGGGGGGGGGGGGGGGGGGGGGGGGGGGGGGGGGGGGGGGGGGGGGGGGGGGGGGGGGGGGGGGGGAGGGGGGGGGGGGGGGGGGGGGAGGGGGGGGGGGGGGGGGGGGGGGGGGGGGGGAGGGGGGGGGGGGGGGGGGGGGGGGAGGGGGGGGGGGGGGGGGGGGGGGGGGGGGGGGGGGAGGGGGGGGGGGGGGGGGGGGGGGGGGAGGGGGGGGGGGGGGGGGGGGAGGGGGGGGGGGGGGGGGGGGGGGGGGGGGGGGGGGGGGGGGGGGGGGGGGGGGGGGGGGGGTGGGGGGGGGGGGGGGGGGTAGGAGAGGGTGGGGGGGGAGGAGGAGAGGGTGGGGGGGGGGAGGAGGAGAGGGTGGGGGGGGGAGGAGGAGAGGGTTGGGGGGGGAGGAGGAGAGGGTGGGGGGGGAGGAGAGGGTGGGGGTGTGGAGGAGGAGAGGGTGGGGGGAGGGAGGAGGAGAGGGTGGGGGGGGGAGGAGGAGAGGGTGGGGGGGGAGGTGGTGGGGGGGAGGTGGTGGGGGAGAGGTGGTGGGGGAGAGGTGGGGTGTGTGGGAGCAGGGTAATAATGCTGTGCATTCGTCAATACCACTGTGTGCGCGCGCCGGCCATAAAGGAAAAGCATAAATAGGCGACGTTTCGGGCAATGGCCTTTCATAACACATAAATGATGCTCTTTGAATGTAATAATGTTTATTTCAAGGCAGCGTCATTAACGAATGTGGTGATATTATTTGCGACGTAAATAACGTTGCTATGAAGAAGGGCAATTGCCCGAACCGTCGCCTATTATATATTTTTTTCTATACGGAACGTGTTCAATATGTTGTTATTGTTGTTGTTGCGTTGTTTGTGCATCACTGCCAACGCAGTAGCTATCATCTTTTTACACTTAGGGGTATGTGAAGCTGTGGGAGACCCCCCGCCCCCCACCCCGACCCCCCGCCCCCCAGCTCCCTCCGCCTGATCACCTACCCAGGTGACAACACAGGAAGCGTAACAGCACAACACAACCACACATCGCAACACAACAACAACAACACAACCACACATCGCAACACAACGACAACACAACCACACATCGCAACACAACGACGGCACCACAACCACACATCGCAACACAACGACGGCACCACAACCACACATCGCAACACAACGACAACACAACCACACATCGCAACACAACAACACAACCACACATCGCAACACGACGACAACACAACCACACATCGCAACACAACAGGAGGCACAACAACCAGACAGCAGCACAACGCACAGCATAACTGCACCCACCCCGCCCACCCTCAACAGACGACATCAGCAGCACACCTCTTCACCTGCACAGCAGCACACCTGTAGACTAGAGCACGTGTTGTAACGTTACAGCAGCACACCTGTTCACCTGTACAGCAGCAGCAGCACCTGTTCACCTGTACAGCAGCAGCACACCTGTTCACCTGTACAGCAGGAGCAGCAGCAGCACACCTCTTCACCTGTACAGCAGCAGCACACCTTTTCACCTGTACAGCAGCAGCACACCTGTTCACCTGTACAGCAGCAGCACACCTGTTCACCTGTACAGCAGCAGCACACCTTTTCACCTGTACAGCAGCAGCACACCTGTTCCCCTGTACAGCAGCAGCAGCAGCACACCTGTTCACCTGTACAGCAGCAGCAGCACACCTGTTCACCCGTCACAGTTGACAGCCCGTTGTCTATCCACTGCAGGATGAAATCCGCCCCCACCCCCCGTAACCACGCACACCGCAGGCAGGGGCAGTGGAGCGCGGTCTCAGCTCTGTGAGCGAGTGAGTGACCCCCCCCCCACCCCCCCTAGGGATGGATGGGGGGGGGGGCTGGGAGGGGGTGCTACCGATGGGCATTTAAACGGCCTCGTCTGTTGCGGATGCAGAAAATCCATAGAGAGAGAGAGAGCGACAGAGAAAAAACGACCGGGAATTTCTCATTGCGAGTCCAGCTGCCGCGAATGCTTAAGCGAGACCCACGGCCGCATTTATTGACGCGAGCGGACATCGCTCGCCTCTGCGTCCAGTCGGAGGTTTAGCGAACGACCCCGAGGGAATGGAATGGACGATGCGCGGAGCGGAGGGACGACGACAGACGGCGAGATGGAGTCACGGGGGAGTGTGGGTGGTGCCATCGGCCACTGCCGTGATCACCACCATCACCATCATCAGCACCATCACCACCGTGACGATTACCAGCACACCACCATCATCCACTCATCATCCACACTGAAGGTCACAGCGACTCGCTCACCAACCCACCCAATCACGCGTCCGCTCACCCACTCATTCACCTACTCATTCACCCACTCATTCACCTACTCACTCACTCAACTCACCCACTCACCCATGAATTCACCTACTCAATCACTTATCCTATCACTCGCTCATCCACCCACTCACACCACCCATTCACGCACCTACTCATTCAGTCATTCTATCACTCACTCCACTCAAGCATGCGCTCACCCACTCGTTCACCTACTCAATCACTCATCCGATCACTCACTCACCCACTCGTTCACCTACTCAATCACTCATCCTATCACTCACTCGCCCACTCACCCACTCGTTCACCTACTCAATCACTCATCCTATCACTCACTCACCCACTCACCCATTCATTCACTCACTCACCCACTCACCCATTCATTCACCTACTCAATCACTCATCCAATCACTCACTCACCCATTCATTCACCTACTCGCTCAACCCACTCTGTTGCTCAACCACTCTGTCGCTCACTCTGTCGCTCACCCTGTCGCTCACCCTGTCGTTCACCCTGTCGCTCACCCTGTCGCTCACCCGCCCGCTCATCCGCCCGCTCACCCACCCGCTCACCCGCCCGCTCACCACATACTTCTTCCCTCTCATCGCTCCACTTTGGAATTATACATTTATTTGTGAGCGCTTTTCCCAATGCTCAAAGACACTTTACATGAAATCATAAAAGCAGCAAAAACAACATCAAATGGTGAAAACACTAGAAACACATCAAACTTAGCTAAACATTAAAAGCAATGTTATCTCTCTCCTATCGTCTCCTCTCCAAAACCCTTACAACAATAACCTCGTCCAGTTCTGGACGCGTGTTACACTCCTTACACATATTACGACTGCGATGGTGCTGCTTGTTACTTGCCGTTTGAGGTTTGTTTTTAGGCATTCAGGCCCTGCGCTCAGTAACTGTGCAAAAACACTGTACTATCAATCACCATAACAACCATGATCGCTACCATCATCGATACCATCACAACTGCGATCACCCCTTCCAACCCCTGTACCTTCACCACGACCACGGCTACCTCCGCTCACCTCTTCACAGACCTCACATTTAGGGCTAAGTTGACCGAGGAGAAGGCCTGTCTATACGTGGGCCCCCCGGCGCCTTCAAACTAAACCGTGACGTCGAAGCGCGCCCCCCCCCCCCAAAGCGTGGGGCCCGGGGCAGTTGCACCGATTCGCCGTACCCCAAGGGTCGGCTCTGCCTAGGAGAGACCATCCCTGGGTACGGAGATCCGACTCACTCCCGTCTCCGCACGCGTGCTCGGACCCTCGATCGCTCGCTCGCTCTCAATGCAGCAGCACAGGTGTCTCGTCACCTATCTCGCGACCGCATCGGGGGGGGGGGGGCTACAGTGACCACAGCTTTGTTCAGGTCGCACCACTTCTGTTGGGGTCACCAAAGAGTGATGTCATCGCTTTCCATGGTCATCATAGAATTACATGACACCTTTGTCCAGGTGAACGCGCCTGTGTTTGAGGGTCATCACAGCGTGACCTCACCTGCATCGAAGTAATGAGCAAACCTTTGTCCAGGTGACCTCTAACCTGTGTTAGGGCCATCGTCATCATCATCACCACCACGGGTTGTGACCTCACCTGTACCAATGGTCATCACAGCGTGACCGACACCCTGTGTTCAGGTGAGCACAGCTGTGCCAGGTGAGCCCCAGCTCTGTCTCACCTGTGCTCCTCCGAGTACTGGAAGACGTCAGAGCCGTTCCGGAGCCAGCGGTACTGCATGGGGAGGCTCCCGTCGGCCAGGCACGTGAGCACCAATCGGTTCCCCTCCAGCTGAGTCTGCGTGCGGGGGGCATCCCGGCGAAACGAGGGGGGGCCTTCATCTGTTGGGGAAGGGGTGGAGGAGCGGGGGGGGGGGGGCAGAGGTGTGGGCGGAGCGTTAGAGTGATAGGGATGATTGACTGGTCCCATGATGTAGATGATTGACAGGTTGAGAGAGGTTGGGGCGCTGGCGGGTGCCGGGTTGTGTGTGGTGGCTACGCTGCACACAACACAGCGACACAACGAACCACACACAACACAGCGACACAACGAACCACACACAACACAGCAACCACACACAACACAGCGACACAACGACACAACGAACCACACACAACACAGCGACACAGCGACACAACGAACCACACACAACACAGCGACACAACGAACCACACACAACACAGCGACACAACGAACCACACACAACACAGCGACACAACGAACCACACACAACACAGCGACACAACGACCACACACAACACAACGACACAACGACCACACACAACACAGCGACACGCCAGATCACACACAACACAGCGACACAACGACCACACACAACACAGCAACCACACACAACACAGCGACACAACGACCACACACAACACAGCGACCACACACAACACAGCGACACAACGAACCACACACAACACAGCGACACGCCAGACCACACACAACACAGCGACACGCCAGACCACACACAACACAGCGACACGCCAGACCACACACAACACAGCGACACAACGACCACACACAACACAGCGACACAACGACCACACACAACACAGCGACACGCCAGACCACACACAACACAGCGACACAACGACCACACACAACACAGCGACACGCCAGACCACACACAACACAGCGACACGCCAGACCACACACAACACAGCGACACGCCAGACCACACACAACACAGCGACACGCCAGACCACACACAACACAGCGACACAACGACCACACACAACACAGCGACCACACACAACACAGCGACACAACGACCACACACAACACAGCGACACGCCAGACCACACACAACACAGCGACACGCCAGACCACACACAACACAGCGACACGCCAGACCACACACAACACAGCGACACAACGACCACACACAACACATCGACACGCCAGACCACACATAACACAGCGACACAACGACCACACACAACACAGCGACACGCCAGACCACACACAACACAGCGACACGCCAGACCACACACAACACAGCGACACGCCAGACCACACACAACACAGCGGACACGCCAGACCACACACAACACAGCGACACGCCAGACCACACACAACACAGCGACACAACGACCACACACAACACAGCGACACGCCAGACCACCAGAGATCTACAGAGCAGTCGCGCGAGCGGCGCACGGCAGAGGGGGTCACGGGCGAGAGATTTATGATGAAAGATTACAGCGAGAGGTCACGGCTAAATAAAAAATAATAATGGCACGAGGTCAAAGCGAGAGGTCACGCTAGAGGTCACGGAGGTGGGACGGGGGTCGCGGCGGCATGAAACGTCTCGTACGGCTACGTGCACACAGAGTGGCGACGCGAGATGATCACAGCAGGGCGGGATTTGTGTGTGCGGGGGGAGGGGGATTGCACGTGCACGTTCAGAGACACAAACGAAGGACAAAGATGCCCCGTGTAGTCTCAGCAGATCGTCGGCGGGGAAACTGCCGACAAAGACAAAGATCCCCCGTATAACCTTGACAGACTGTAGGAGCAAGTGCTGTTAGCGAGCACCTATGAAGGCCGGAACCGTACGCGATGTTTACACAGCGCGCTGGGAAGGCCCAACACAGGTTCAGATAATCGTCACTGATGTTGGTGGCCATGAGCGGGTATCGAACTCGGCTGAACCGGGTTCGTATTGGGGTGCGCTAACCACTGCGCCACCGCTCTCATAGTGCAGCCACGACAGGGGCGGGTGCACACACACACACAGACCCACGCACGCATTTACAAATCGCTCAGAAGCTCGCTCACACACACGCACGAACAGGCACACCGACACCATCTGTGTTAAGAGGTTGTTATTTTAAATAAACAAATCCCTGCGCCTTCTCTGGAGCAGATAAATCTCCAAAATGTCACATCGTAACAAAAACAAACACAAGCACATTAACTAAACAAAACTCCTCAAAATAAATACACTCATACATAATATATATTAACTACGGAGTAGAGGTTATCAATTCTAGATTTGAAGCTTTCGTGACTGCAAGGATCCATACTCGTTGGTTCTATTCGGTAAAGTCACATAGGTAAAAAATAAAAATAAAACAACAAAAATCACGACGTTTCGGCCGCAACACAAGTGGCCTTCGTCAGGTGAAGGGACCAGACTGTCCAGAGGACAACGTTGGAGTGAAGACAGCCAAGCCGCGACCACAAGCTTAAAGGAGGCGACCTGAGCTTGGCTGTGTTTCACTCCAGTGCTGTCCTCTGGACAGTCTGGTCCCTTCACCTGATGAAGGCCACTTGTGTTGTGGCCGAAACGTCGTGATTTTTGTTGTTTTATTTTTATTTTTTACCTACGTGACTTTACCGAATAGAACCAAAGAGTACGGACTAGAGCCACTGCGCAGTAGTTAGCGCCTATGACCCCCCTGTCGTACTGAGTTTGATTTACGGGCACGGCGAACGCCCGCCAAGTGGCCGACTGATCTCCGGCACTGGTCCTGCATCGTCATTCACGCACGGACCACCAATGTGGTGAAGTATGGCCCAACAACCTCCACCTTGGAGGGGGGGTGGGGTCAGATTCTGTGCATGGTGGGGGGGGGGGGGGGGGTGATTGTGGGTCAGATTCTGGTTTCGCTGTGCATGGGGGATGGGTCAGCTTCTTATTTTGACGACAGATCACTTTCATAAGACGTTTCGAGATGGATGCGGATCTGAACGCGACGCTGCTGCGACTGAGCAGTCCTGGCGAGGCTGCAAAATTTACTAATGGCCAACGGAACGTTCCCGACCTGTCGGACAGAATGACGGAGAGAATCGCCCGGAGTGATGCACCCCGCCAAATTACCCCAGAGCAACTGGTGTTGGTGGAGCAGGTAGGTAAAGAGACCAACAACCATGTGGAACAAAGATCCACACGCCACGTGACACCAACATGCTTACACCACGTGGCACGGAGAACCATCACCACGTGGCACGGATATGTTTGTTGAAGTTCTTTCGCACCGTACGTAGCCAACCGTGCTGATCGGAGGGCGGAGATGTACACTCCACGTGGCACGTAGATCCGCAACCACGTGGCACGTAGATGCACACACCACGTGATACGGAGATACAAAACCACGTGGCACGGAGATGCACACACCACGTGATACGGAGATACAAAACCACGTGGTACGGAGATGTACACACCACGTAGCACAGAGATCCGCAACCACGTGGTACGGGGACGCACACCATGCGAGGCATCACGCCACGCCGCTCCCCACGCCGCTCTTCAGCCGTGACAAACAGAGGAGATTGTGAATGGAACATCCCAACGGCTCCCTGGGAAAAATAATCAAAATCCAATTTGCGTGGCTTTTTCCCCGCAGAGAGGCGGTGGTGATCGGCCGAGGCCTCAAGCGAGGACCGAGAATTTATCAGCTCGTCCTCCTCCCACCTCCACTACCGTTTCTCCCCACCCCGCCTCCCCCCCCACCCTTTGCCATCACCACCACACAATTAGTACGACCACTTATACCACCACTTATACCACCATCGGTACCACCAATATCACCACTACCCGCACTACAATCATGGCTATCGTCTTCATCAACAACACCGCCAAATCCACCATCATCACTACCACCATTGTTAACGATACGCTACACCACAGTCATTACCGCCGCCGCTTCCAACAACTGCAACTTGGTGGCCATGCGCCACTAAGTGGCGGTGACGTCACCACGGCGGTTGTGCCAGGCCAGGTGCACTCCGAGGCCACGTGGAGTGTCGAAAGCTCGCTGTTGGGACGTTCCCAGGTGCCATGGGTTTGACTGGACTGCGATGATTGGCACCGATGCACCAGCTGCGTGCTCCCAACTCTGCCAACTTGCGGCGCTTTAGCTCGCCCGGCGTCTCCGCTCGTCGCCGTGAGCGCGCCGCTCCCCTGCAATTACGAACTCTGGCATTGCAGTGGAAATCGCGAACGAATAGGGTGCAGTGCCACCATCTACCCACGGTTTGACTTGGATCCCGGTCCCGTGAGGTCCAAACGCCTCCTCTCCCGCGCAGGAAAAACAAGCGCAGAGGGCGGCGTGCCGGGGCGAGCTTAAATCGGTATGCGGGGCGCGACGAATGCGCTCGGCGTGTTTAGGCCGATGTAATGATTTTTTTTGACATTCAATTTTTTTCCAAGTCTGTCAGGAATTGACAAAACTGTTGACACGTTGCCGGCTGCCGCTGAGCGATGGCGGCGGCGGCGGTGGTGGTGACAAAGAGGAGCGCGCGTTGATTCGCAGAGACACACACACACAGGCACACTAACACACACAGGCACACAACAACAACAACCGCCATTCGCCACTAAGTGGCGGTGGCGTCACCACGACGCTTGTGCCAGGAAATGTGCACCTTGAGGCCACGTGAAGTGTCGAATGCCCGCTGGTAGGAGGTCACTGGGCAGACCCAGGTGCCACGGGTCGACTGACTGAGATGACTGAGATGAGTGGCTGATGCACCACCTGTGCTCCCTACTGTGCCAACTTGCTGTGCTTTAGCCACCCGGCGCTCCGCTAGTTGTTGTGAGCGTCGCTCCTCTGCCCTCCGTTGTTGTTGGAGGGCGACTGCCTCCAACTGCCCAGCAGCGTCCTTCACGAGCCTACTCCACAGAGGCCGATCTTGACACCGCTGGTACCAGTCATCGGCAAGTCCACTCAGCTCCACGTCCTCCTGTACCACATCACTCCATCTCCTCTCTAGCCCGTGCCGCGCCCGTTTAGCCCCCTCGATCCGGCCGAACAAAATCTGTTTCGGCATGCGGTGGCTGAGCATGCGGGCTACATGACCCAGCCAACGCAGCCTTGCCTGCCGGAGGAGCTCACCGATGGGACTTTGCCCAGATC